CCACTCAGCTTGGTGTCATCTGCAAACTTGCTGAGGGTGTACTTGATCCCACTGTCCGTATCATTGATGAAGATATTAAACAACACCGGTCCCAGTACGGACCCCTGAGGGACTCCACTTGTCACCGGTCTCCATTTGGACATTAAGCTGTTGACCATGACCCTCTGGATGTGACCATCCAACCAATTCCTTATCCACTGAACAGTCCACCCATCAAATCCATACCTCCCCAATTTAGAGAGAAGGATGTTGTGGGGGACTGTGTCAAAGGCTTTACAGAAGTCCAGATAGATGACATCCATTGCTTTTCCCTTGTCCACTGATGCAGTCACTCCTTCATAGAAAGCCACTAGGTTGGTCAGGCAGTACTTGCCCTTGGTGAAGCCGTGCTGGCTGTCTCGAATCATCTCCCTGTCCTCCATGTGCTTTAGGGTAGCTTCTAGGAGGATGTATTCCATTATCTTCCCAGGCACACAGCTGCCTGGGAAATGGAAGAAACTGGAGATGCCCTTCCTACAACACAAAGCAAAGCTTAGCACTTCAGCTGGAATTGCCACCACTTCCGTGGGCCTGGAAGAAGGAAATCAAGGAATGGATACCAAATTCACTCTCCCAAAAACATCGGACATCCTGCGCTGGTCTACCCTACAGAAGCTTTGATAAGACAGTTGTAACAGCCACCCTTTGCCTCCCCCAACTAAGAGCACAGCTTGCACAGGGCCTTACATGACTTCAATCTCTCTAGTTTCTAGAAAAAGCTGTATTTGTACATGAGGAAAATGCACGTGCAAATAGAAACAGGATTTTTTGCGTTCCTAGACAGGGTTTCCCACACCCAAATTTAGCCTTATTTGGGAACACACAAGGTTGTTCAGAAATAATTCTTCCTGAAAAGTTGCTTGCACAGGTACCAACTGCACTCATGCAATTCAGATAATCATTCCAGTAAAACAGTAGGAGTCATAAACAAAATAGTGTAAAAAATACAGTGAGAACTTTGCTTAGATTAAGCTTGTGTAAAAAACACAACCAAAGTTGAGTTTCTTTATGATTACCTGCAGCAGTGCTTAGCCAAGTGTTAAACAAGATGGTTATTAGAATCAGCTAGGTATTCCTCCTCCTGAATTACTGCAGAGCCTGGTTTTTAAGACCCTGGGAGAACACTAACTGAAGGTAACTGGGAGGTGAGCTAAGGATTAAACAGCAGTCATGCTATGTGATTGCTAAAACTCTACCACCAGTATTTTTAAAGTGAAAACAGCACATACTGAATGACCAAACCAAGCACTTACACAAGCAGTTTTGAACAGACCGTGGCTTGGGGAAATTTAAAGTTTGAGTTATATTCAGGTGACCTGTTCCAAACTCAGGACAGACAAGCCCTCTTTACCAAGCTCACAAAATCTTTGAAGATTGTACCTCTGTCTCTTGTTTTCTTTTCCATGGAGCGAAGAGTCTAGTAGTTTGATCAGAACCAACACTGATGATAAACTCTCCTTCTGGATCCCACTTGACATCTTCTACACTGTTAAAATGTCCTGAAATCACAACTTCTGGAGTCCATTCTTTCTATTAAAAAAGTCACCAAAGAAGCAAAGAGTTTTCAATTGACTGATTGGCATATTCTAACCAAAATAAAAGTATCAACATTCTTATCAAGAAAGCAAAAAAAAAGACATTTGAAAACAGCAAATTATTAGACCTCAGAGTGGCTAAAGAGACACAAATACTGATTTATTGCTCTAATCTAAAAGAAACTTGTGTTATTGGTTCAGCTGCCACTTCTGAAGAAAGCACAACCACAAAGGAGTTCAGTCTATTCCACTGACTTTATGGTTCCCACGGGGAAGCAACAGGTTTTAGAGCCTGGGAGATTGCAACCTCCCTTCTGTGCAGGAGCGAGACTCCTATAGAATATTATATTCAGAGAAGGACTATTTCAGTCATTAATTTTAAATAGTACTGTTACACTTTTCTATTAACAATAGAACTTACCTCAAGTGACATATAAGTGTAATTCTTTTAAGTATTACTAATAACAAAAAACCAACGTACCTTATTAACTGTAGCCTGTTTCCAAAGGTGTAGTGCTCCATGAAAAGCATGAGCAATGATCATTGAACCATCTGGACTAAACTGGCAGTCAAAAAATCCAAGGGTATTGCCACCCACTTCACCTACCCGCACCTGAATTAATGATCAGAAGTGAAATATCCATGAAAATGGCCTTCCATTCATATAAACTCATCCTAATCTCATGAGATGAAAATTTAGCTATAGGCAAGAGTTCACATTGCACACAAAAATACATTTAAAGAATATTTTAATTGCAAAGTTAAGCACTAAACTATCAGGGGAATTAAATTTGCATGCCACTTCAATGGAGCCTCCCTTCATAAACATCTCAGGATAGGATCTTTCTCAAATCCCCAAGGGAAAGAAAACACTACACTAGATGAAACGAGAACCCAAACTTTCTGTGTTTCAGTCCAGTCTGTTGGATGCAACAGTTTCTTGTCATCTGTTGTCTTGCTATTGCTCTGTTGCACAAAATGGAAAAATGGTCCAAAGGAACAGTGTTTGCCAATTACCTTCCCCCCCCCGCCTTAATTTCCAAGATTCACTACTGTATTTCCACTTCCCCGTTTCTCCATGAATCCCTGCAGTTTGCTCCACATTCCTTCTTGGCATATTTTGGCCTCTGTTTTGTGCTTCCCTTGTGACTTTGCATGTATGTATGTATGTATGCATGCATACACACATGCCTTACAGTTGCTCTAGTGCTCTTCCAAGTTTTTAATTACACTAAGAGATTATTAAAGTTATGTTTTCAAGAGATAAGACACAATTCCTTTCAAGCTGAACTCTTAACAATTCCCCCATTATTGTACAGCTGCTTTTAAGATCACAATGAAATGAATCTACACCTCACTCTAAATGGCAGCATGGAGTCGTATGTCCATTTTATTAGCACTCATTCAAAAAAAATACCGCTCATATGGAAGTGACTTTCATATGCCACGCTAGAGGCAGAATTCTACTCTCACCTCCAAGCAGGGGAATGATTTTGTGAAGACTGCTTGTTCATCATATCAAAATGAAAGAGAAAAAATGGGATGTTCCCCTTGTTCCCTTCCTCCCTGCAAGCTTCCAGCTCATGTTTCCCTCACTCGATGCCAAAAGGATTGTTGCAGTTTAAATGCCTGATTTGAACTGCAGGCTGCACATTTGAGGTCTAACCAATGCAAACAATGTAAAAAGAAAGAGTAACAACTTGCCACAAGCTTTACTGTACAACCCATTTTTAAAAGCTTGTAAATTTAGCCACAACTAAGCGTTATGAATAGGGACAACAAATCGCATCTCTGTGTGATCACCCTATTATGAACTAATTTCTACTTCAAGTAGAAAGGCACAAGAACTTTTCAATGGAACAGGGGAGAAATTAAATACACTACTGTAATTCCCTTTTTTTTAATCCAAGACAGGATTAGAACTTTCTTTGTGACAGGAAAGATCGTAAACAATGGTTGGCATAACCCAACACAAACAATTTCAGCCAAACTACTGCAATTTGGAAAAGCAGGTCAACTGAAAACAAAGACATCTACCAAATCACTAGATAAATCTGGCTGTACTACTTGTTTATTTAGGATGATCCACGTTAGAACAGTGTCCAAAATCCTACAGTGAAACATCAGTATTCAGCTCAAACGGAAGAAAAGCCTAATGACACGGCCCATGAACAAGTTACTGTGAGTAAAACTAGACTTGTGAATTGCGTGTCAGCTGCTCTGTAGTAACTGTTTGGGTCTACATTCCCTCAAGGCTTATGTACAAATAATTCAGGAGGGTTTCTTCTTCTTCTTACCAGGAGCACACAGCGTGTGTTACTATACAGCACCTGGCTTGCTATATTATGAATGACAGTTGAGCAAAAACTCCCCTTAGAAACTCCCCAATATGGTAATAAGAAAGCAAACAAGTAATAAAAATCATATTGCATCACATCATTTTTGAAAAACACAGTTTTACTCACCACACAGCGTCAGAATGAGCATTTTTGCAAGCAAATGCTTTTTCCTTTCTCTCCCAGCATTTTACAGAGTTTTGTTCCCTGCAGTATGCACACGATGCTGGAAATGCAACTTGAATACAGTATGTATTGTGAGAAAGACTGACACTTGCCTGTTCTAGCCACACTCCAGACTCCTTATCAGGTTCCCAGATGATCACAGTTTTGTCCATTGATGCAGACAATATCCTCATTGGTTGTTGCATGCTGCCATCTACAGTACAAAGAAAATGATTACCCTACAACCTATGAGAATACTTTCTAAAAGAATTTGGTCATACTGAAATCCAAACACACTAAGAAAATTGTTCAGCATCAGAGACGTGCAATGCAGTACTGAAATGCCAGACTTAACAGGCCCTACGTTCTTGCCAGGCATTCATTAGGAGGTGGTGTATTTTTCAGCCATAATCTCCCAAAGGAAATGTAAAACATATACATGAGAACAACCATATTCTACTATTTATTCACTCCAAGTTGATACTGAAACAAATGCAGTTTGGAGGAAAAGCTAGAGCTTCACAGAGAGACTGCATAGCAGTTCTCAGTTCTATTCCTCAAATAAGTTTTTACCAAGAGTTTTACAGTTTAAAACAAAATAATCTCTATGTCAGTATTCACTTGCATTTTTTCCCCAAATCAAGTGTCAGATTCACTACAGGCTTCCAATAGACTCTAGCACCTTGTAATACAGTAGTAAGGACTGCTCCCCAAAATGCAGTGAAACACTCCAGACAACCACCCAACACAGCCAGAATGGGGAAGAGGGAACTGGTTCATCATTCAGTTGCGAAACCCCTAGAAGAAGCACTGAGGAACCTTTCTTGAGAACACAGACATTGGTGGGCATCTCATGAGGTGGCATCTTATGTCACCACCAGACTTCCTACCTTCTGTGTTGAGAATATGTCTCTCAGATCAGTCTGCCTCTACTGAAGATGTATTTTGGGGAACCCAAAATTGGGCAGGCCACAGAACACAAGCAGCTGCATGTATGCAGAAGCATGATGTAAAGACATGTGGAAAACTTCATGGCCTAACAGGACAGTTTTTCAAATTGCAATGCAAGACTTACATGCCTATATTGTACCTAAACCTTGCTTTAACAGGCAGAATCTTGTATTAGTGTCTTAAAAAAAAAAAAAAAGTTAAAGAACAGATAACTAAGCCAATATTTCTAAAGCAAGTCCTGTGTCTTTCACTACAGGTATTTTGACATTCTAATTGCACTTTACTGTTCAAGTGTTTTATATACACTGGCAAAGCTGTGCAGGTGAAGTCACCTGCAATCAGTAACTCTAAAACATCTCAGAAAAAAAGGCACCTTTGCCAATACAAATACACAAGGGCATTCTGATTGTGCAAGCATCTCAAACCAACAATCTCCTTCCCTTATACGCCAGGCAGACACACACCAGCCAATCAGTACTGCAAACAAGACCATCAGAATTTAAGGATTTAAAAAGAAAGATAAAGACTAGGCAAAATGCAAAATTAAACTGTAAATAATTTCTTTTCAATGACAGTCTGCATTACTGCCTTAAAGCTATATGCTAGAGAAAACTGATACTCAAGGAATCCCTGGCATGTTATATTAACGCAGGGAAGACTGAAGATTAATCTTCTGAATGTTGCTATTTGTTCCTTTCTACTCCAAGAAAAAGAAAGGACTGCTCTTGAGTTAATGCTTACCTTCCAAAGAACAGACATTTCAAATACATATATCAAGGTAAACTATTAGAGCTATTGATTCACACTGATTAAACTCATTTGTACTCCATAAACAACAAATCAATTACAATAAAGCCAGTACAGCTCAGTTATTTTATTTCATTCATTAAAGAAAACACGAGCAAAAGGCAACATCCATGTACTTATAAAACATTATTTGCAGAATTTAAACATTTTCATAGTCCACCGTGACAAGTGAACATGCAAACACAATACAAAGACATGTGACTGTACCCCATGTATACAACAGTTAACATAACTGCTAAGTGTTTGGTACCTTTTTACCTTTGGAAAATGAAGGTTGCCAGTGAACTGCATACACCCAGTTTTCATGACCAGCCAACACCGACTCCAAAGTGATTGCGTATGTTGTGTCAGTATCTACCACAAATCAGAGAAAAGCACATTTCTTTCTAAAAGCCAAGAAAGTCAGGTCATTTCTGATATCTTCCGTGAAAAAAAAAATCAACTGCTTTCATCACCTACCAATGTCTCAATAGCCTATTGACACTGAACAGCTCCTTGAAAACCTACTTTGCCACAAGTCCTGAGTACCAGATTGATGCTAAGAGGTCAGCCTATTGCCTCAGAGTGGTACCACAGAATTCCTGGAGAACTCTCAAGCAATTTTGAAATAAACGCTCGGACATTGGCTCTACTCATACTCTTAAGCATATTTACATCTCCAAATGACTGCAAATACAAGCATTAAGATACTCCAAACAATGAATCGGGATTTGCAGCAAGTAGCATGAGCACTTTTTACACATAACATACAAACTTCATATTACCTAAGTTGCCTAATAATTTACCCCACAATGTCAGCATTGCAAGCCTCTGATGTTACAGTGCTCAAACAGTATGTTAAATAACGATAAAGTAAGCCTGCACATACTTATCTGTTCTCTCCAGTACTTTTCTAAGGTTTAAGCACTAGTTACACCTCTTAATGCATTGGATTTGAAAGGAAATTAAAGGTATGCTATTAAACTGGATAACTGCACAACAGCTTACCTCCCACAGACAAATGTATCTCCTATGTACTGCATTTAGAATACATGTAACAATGCATATTGCTATTAAGCTCTCTCACTGCTTTACCATTTTTTGTAACACATCATTAACTTCACATAGTCACAGCTTTACAACAATAACTCCACTTTTCCTAATAGCTGAATAAAATTAATGCAGTCAAACTGGTCTCAGATTCTTTTAATACAAGAAACAAACCAAACTAGACAGTAACCACCTTGCTAGCTCCCCTGAAACCATGAACAGATACACAAGTGAAAAGTTGTGCAACAGAATTTTACAGCTGTTACCTACCTTTGACAGTAAAAACATTCTCTTTCAGTCTTATGGAATCATCTTCAGTTTCTGGAAGTTGCTTTGATTTTGTACACACTTTCCAAATTCTTATCAAACAATCCTGAGCACAGCTTGCTAAGAAAAGGTCTTCACCTATTTGGTTTAAAAAAAAAAAAAAAAAAAAAATTACAGCCATGTTTTCATTGCAACTGCTGCCATGACTAACCTACCATCTTTCCAAACATGCATTACAGCATTATCCTAATTTTTCCTGTTGTTCACAGTATCATAAACTGCTGTTTTAACATCAACTCACTCTCCCATTTCAAACTCTCTACTAGTTTATAACATGCTGACTATGGACATTTCCCTGCTTATAAGACATGGAAGGCATGGCAAATACATATACTTCTGTACTATTTACGGCCTTCACTCTCGAAATTCTGAAAGCCTCAATACTATTCACTAACTCCTTTCCTCCTCCTCTGTCTTCAGGATTGTAGCATCCTCTAATTCCTTCTATTTTTTTTTTTTTTGCCATTGCAAGAATTATTTGATTAGTTAATGTCTGATTAGGTTCTCTCTTAATCTCCTATTCTTAAAACAAAAAAAAAAAAAAGGGGGGGGGGAGGGAGAAGAAAAGTACTATTTCCCCCTTTGAAAAAGCAGACAGCTCTTCCTCACTCAGATATACACATTTGCATATTGAAAAGGACAAGTTGCTAAAACTCCTATTTGTTTGCATTAAGGTACCAGTCAGGTAAACATACTTGAAGCAAGCAAGCAAGAGTGAGGGCTGTGAGTGTTCTGTATCAATCTTACTGTAGCCATAATTTTGATAACTAAAACACAACTGTAGTATAGGTTCAACAATTCTTATATTTTAACATGACACAAAGTTCTGTCTTGATTTTTAATATTTGTACCACCATCTTGGGGGGGGGGGGGGGGGAAATCACAACCACAAGAGCTTAGGGGCTACAGTGCATCAAAGCCATCTGTTGGAGGTGTAAAAGAGTAAGTAGTACTGTGATTAAACCAGTATTCCACTTTATTCATCTTTCATACTGACCACAGACTGCCCATTCAACGCCTCTTATCCAATCTTCATGGCCAGGGAGTATTAACGTTTTCTGAAACTGAATAAAAACTCCTATTACATCACAGAAATACACTTAATTACCACGCGCATATCAGCAATTAGCTTTGGATTTTCAAGCCTTTTATATTTACAGCTTTTATTATTTGAAACTGGAAAAACAATCTGCTACTAAGGATTGCAATTATAGATTCTAAATAGGCCTTTTTGATTTTGCCTCCATTGGGTAAACATGTGTCACATAACGGGACTTCCCATATATGAGCAGGAGAGAATGAGAAATTTAAGGTGGTCACCTTCAAGGTGCTACAGTCTCTCTATGATACAGATTAATTTTTTTTTTAAGTTTATCAGGTTATAGTGGTACACAGAGAATAACATAATGCAGGTATGACATGGTACATAATTTCTATTACACATGTGAAGTGGATGCAACTGCAGATGATGTGGAAAAATGAATACAGGTAAAATCAAGTGTAAAAACAAAAGCAGATGTTTTGAAATTATTTCAATAATTAATTTCTAATATGATACTACTAATAAGAATTACTTATGGGGCTAGAAATATTCCCTATGTTTCTTAAGTTTATTGACTAAGTTTCTAAGGAAGGTATACATCAAGAACTGTATCTGCTGATCATAGAATAGAATCATTTAGGTTGGAAAAGACCTTTAAGATCATCCAGTCCAACCATTAACCTTACCAAGTCCACCACTAAACCAATTAAGGGTTTAGATGGAAAACTCTGCATGAACACAGGCTCAAGTTCACAGGAATCCAAACACAGTCCAGATTCCCTTTTAAGAACTTTCATTAGTAGTATATTTTCCTTCATAATATATATAGTATTACAATTTTATTTTGATTCAATTAAGGTGCAAGTATTTACTGCTTACTTAGCATTTAAACCATTTCTGTTTTTCTTTGCCCAGAAAAAAGCCCTACTCCCATGACATTTTTTGATCCCAAGTTGACTTAAAATGTCTGAAATAACCACTACAGTTAAAACATTAGCATAGTTTAGTATGAATAACTATCACATTATTTCTGGCATTATATTCTGCTAAATCCTTACCTATGCCTACTAAGAGTTAAGATTAAACAATAGCCTCTGCTATCAGCACAAGTCTGCAACTGAGGCCTCT